AAAATGCACTTAAAGCCTGGGCCAAGCCGGGACTCGAACCTGGGCCTCGTTGGTACAAAGCGAGGAAAGAACATCTACGCTAACCTGTTCCCCCAAACTAGCTAGGGTCTATATTTTGCACATCCGCTTTTATTAGAGCCTTTACTGGTTTTAGGCCAAAGTGATTTGGCTTGAAGCATCCCAATGTACAACACGAACTCAGCGGCATCCTTGGACCTGGCTTTAGTTAGTGGCAGTAATTTCTCGCCTTAGTAAACAGTACTTGGGAAATACTTTCTGTGCACTGGTATTCTACTTGATATGTGTTGCTTTCTGATCTCTCTGACCAATTTCAGTTGCCATCGACCCCTGTGGCTCCTCCCCCTGTTTGAATAACGGGATTTGCCAGAGTGTTGGTAACGACTACATCTGCACGTGTGACACTCTCCACAGCGGCAAGAACTGTGAAACAAGTAAGAAAAATAACTACAAGAAATATGTCGAATTCATTTTTTAAGTTTTAGTTTTCCTTGGGCCTGTATGTTCGTACATGTGTCCGCGAACTTCTGGACATCTTAATTTTGGCTTTCCCCAGGTGGACTCAAGGTTACATAATTGTAATCTGTATTTGAAAACTTTTCAGTCTCAAGGGAATCAGTGTTGTCAATGCCAGTTCGAATTCTGATTTCTGGTCGTCATTTTGTTTTTTGTCCCACGCGACCAGAGATAAAACCGTGCGACAACGACCCCTGCCAAAATGGTGGCGGGTGCTTCAACCGCGTGGATGACAACACGTACTTCTGCGTCTGCCCCGCCAACTTCACCGGAGAGAACTGTGAAGAGGGTAAGTCTTCGCTGGGCATGGAAGGGGATGACACTAAAGGGTGGCATTAAAGCCAAGACCGGTAACATCTGGGATTCACGGTTGATGTGCTTGACAATGTAACAGCCGAAATTTGATCCCCTAAGTAGAATTTGCATGGTCGATTATGAAAATAGTTAGACAGTTCCCCTCAGATGTTTCAAAACGTTGTTCATATCACTTTGAAGAAATTGATGTGCAGCGGCCCCCAATAGCCTTTTGTGTTTTTTGATAAAAAAACTTTTACTCCTTTGGGACTGGCATGGCCCCAGTTGGCCCCTTTCCTGACCCCCAGATTCGTACTTACAGTGGATGCCCGGCAGTGTCACTCGAGAACCATGCCATATTATGGACATAATTCTATACTCTCATATTTGGCAACAGATTTGCTGTTCTGTGAACCCTAAACTCACTGGCGCTGCTCAAGGATCTAAGCATTGCATATCGATATCATTATCTCATTCTTTGACCCCCTTCATTTTTTTAGATTTGAAACCTTGCCAAGCCATCCCCTGTCAGAACGGTGGACTGTGTTACAACTTGGGGAACAACCTCGATTACGTGTGTGTGTGCACCAGTGGCTTCATGGGTACCAACTGCGAGAGGGGTAAGGAAGACAGAGCTTTGTGGACGGACCATTCTACAAACTTACAAGAATTTCAACTTGTTAGGCTATACTAAATGGTTTTGTGTCCGAATCATGCTATAATTTGTGTTAAGTGATGCTCAATGGCTGTATTTGGCTGTAAATTTGTTTCCTTTTTTCACAGAAACGGTTTCTTCTTACTTGAAATATTTTTGACAAGTTTTAGCTCCAAACTATGCGGAAAAATTTCCAGTTAATAGGTTAGAAGTAATTTTATGGTGGTGAACCAGACGGTATGGTACCCCCTCCCACACATCCTGCAGCCGTATAAACAACCACCATCTTTATAGGCATCATTCCATGTCATTTTATTTTGTCTAGATAGAATTTCAGGCATTTTCAATCCTTTCCTCCGTATATTTCTACTACTTTCTCGTTTTTTTGTGATCATTCAGATGACCCCTGTCTCCCCCAGCCTTGTTTTAACGGGGGCGTGTGTTCGTATATCGGCTTCTCGTTCAGCTGCACTTGTGCAAATGGCTACACCGGACCCCAGTGTGAAATTCCACCTCGTAAGTAGACAGTGTGTGGGCGTTACTTGATCAATCAGTCCCAAGCATTCTCCCCTAAAATGATAGCTGAGTTGTCTGTCATCGTGGGGTATGCTTTTCTCTGAATCTTTCCTCTCTGCTTTATATTCCAACATTTTTATATACATGCAACCATCTGACCTCGGATAAGTTAAAGGCTGTATTCTTTTTTTCAAGAGTCAACTGTTGAGTTTCACTGAAGAGAACAAATGGATTTTTTCTCTATATTTTTTGTATTTACTTTGTTCTCCAATTCTAACTTTTCTTAGCACTGTGTGTGCAAGAACTCCCCACAAGTTTTAGGAGCCCTGGAAGTGGTTATGTTCGCAACATCTATTCAGAGATATGAGATCCATGATCTGAAACCTATTCTAGATTCTAGACATATCTTGGAATGCAAACGAAAACTGTTTCTTCTACTTAAGAAGCAGAGTCGTATATGTCGGCCAGCTTTTGCGACGAAGAGTCGAACCCGTGTCGGGAGGGCTCCACGTGTCTCAACACCGCCAACCGGACGGCAATTTGCGTGTGTGCCGAGGGACACATGGGGGCGTTTTGCGAAATCGAAGAAGGTCAGAAACTGAGTCTGACTCGGTGGCACTGTGACACACGGGGAAGAACACACCACCCGCAGACAAATAATACTGTGAATGAAGTGCATGTGTAGTTGATAGCTTAACTCATTGAGCACCACGTTCTTATGCATCTGTTACGGCCGTCCACAACAAACTATACACAGTACACTGGTCAGGTCGTCCCATTTGCGGAAGGGTACATACAGAAAAAACTGTATTCACTCTATTCACCTGTAGTCTATCCTAGAATGGACTTGTCTACGTTGCATGTTTCCCACCCGTGACTTTAAGTCTTAATAAGTCACTACTCACATCAAATAGGCCTACCTCATCCACTTCGCCTCATGAAACTTTGATTGACAACAGTACCTATGATATTGTGGTTTAATATGTAGGTGCAGATGGGTTACTATTTAGAATTGTTTGGGTGCACATTTCGAAGGTGAAAGCATGGTCAGGAATCGTCATTGTTGTGTTTATGAAGAAAAATCTCAATGATTTAATTTGAAAGGTACAATAAGGTTACGAGTGGTAGCCTATTTGTTTCTTCTTTGAGGGAAAGATGTGCACAGGAAACTTCGTTTTGGTCAACAGTGATTACCAACAGACACGGGTTTATGGGTTCAATTCTGCAGGGCGGAGGATGAGTATAACAAGATAAATTTCAGGCTCTGTGGGTCCTTCAGTTTCTTGGCACGAAACAAGCACCCAACTTAGAGAGTTTCCTTAATTGAATTATGCATCTCACACTTATAAAAATGACTGTTCCGAGCTCTCTGTCTGTTAACAGAATGCAGCCACGCTTACGGTTGTATTGCTGTTCAGTATATTCAGAGCCTTTGTAAATGGTTAGTATACATGCACTTCCTTTAGCACCGAATTAGTTGTACACCAGCCTTTCTGGGTTGCACGTATTTTTGTACAACTGCAGATTTGGTATTTTTCGTCAGGACTATGTAGTAGTTGCAATTGGCATTTTCGTTGAATTGCAATCTTGCTTATTTATACTTTATTATCATGCAGTTTCCTAGCTGACTGTCGGGTGTTCATTTTCAAAAAACAATAGCAAGAAGAGATTGGGGGAAAACGGTCCCGTGTTTCTCTTTTCAGCTCATCCGTGCGACGAAGGGCTTAATCCCTGCTTAAACGACGGCCAGTGCTCCTCTAATGATGGTCTCACGGCAGTTTGTGCCTGTGTGAACGGCTTCACTGGATCACAATGCGAAACGGGTGAGAAAATATCGACTTTCTTACTGGGATGAGTTGGTGTTACAGCATTTGCGACAGAGGTGTGCAGGAACCCTTGGCGTCACTCGCTGTACATTAAGTGTGTATCGGAATGATTTAGATAAAAATCACTTGACAATGTGAATGTTAACATGGAGGAACCAAACTGTGTATCACTCATAAGTAGATTAAAAGTCTAAAGAAAAATAGTAAGTCAAACTTGTTTGAATCCATGGATACATATCCCTTCATTTCTCTTTTTGACATCAATGCTATTGCAGTGCCCCCTTGTCACGACACCATCAACCCATGTCAGAACGGAGCGACGTGTGTAGAACAGAACTCAGCAGCGGTGTGCATCTGCGTGGACCATTATGTCGGAGATCGTTGCCAACAAGGTACTTTTCAGAGACAACGTAATGCTTCCAATGTAATCCTTTTACCCATGTGAAGCATGACTTGCATGGCTGTTCTTTTGCTCATGTCAATAGTTTTTATCTCATCCACAGAGGGTCCTTGCCACGAAAACGTCAACCCTTGTCTGAACGGAGCAACCTGCGTGGAGATGAACTCCGCGGCATTTTGTCGGTGCACCGACGGCTTTGTCGGTGATCGTTGCGAGAGAGGTAATGTAAATTCCCCATCAAAGTTTATTGTGATACTTATTGAGAGGAATCAATATGCCCTTGAAAAGGTCCTTTATTGCTTCACTTATAGGAAAGATCATGCTTTGCTAGGGCAACAACATCGTTATCGAGTCATTTTTGCTTCCCTCTTTTTGGACCTACGTCTCAGACCTTCCCTGTAACGATCAGGTCAACCCGTGTCAGAACGGTGCTGTGTGTGTCAACGTGAACGACACCATCGCACACTGCGTGTGTTTCAACCGTTTTAGCGGCCTGTACTGTGAACTTGAACCTGCAGGTTAGATAGGGAAAGAGGTTGCTAACGGCTAGTGCACGTTAACAGCATTGCTAGTATTGTAAGAGTGGCAACAGGGACGCATCACTGTGACTGAGAATAAGGGCATCAATACTGCATGCAGTACTTCAAAGCCGTCTGAGAGTTATGGCTCCGGCTAACAGAAGCACATGCGCCTATACTAGCCACTTGCTCTTAATAGCCACTTCCGAGAAGCACAGGTAGTACTAGATTGTTGGCACGCGAAGAATTTGCACGCAGTTCACGAGCTTGATTTGTTGTGTAGATTTTCATAGTACTATGGCTTTTCTTGTTCTCCTTTTCTTTCAAAATTCCACTTCTTGGCTTTTTCTTGCCTTCGCAGTTTCAATCTTTTACTCACTGCAAACAGACATCCAGTTCAAGCTTCTAATTCTTTTTTGGAATGTGTACTGGTTTTGTTTCTGGTAAACTGTACTGGTTAGTCTCACTCGCAGACCCTTATGATACGGGGCTGGTGCAGAAATTGCCGGGAGGTGTACCGAAGCAGCTGTGATTTTAGACAACATTTATGCTAATTTGCTGCTTTCCTGTTTCTCAGAAAAGGGTCACCTGTTGGTTGAAAACAAGCACAAATGTAGCCGTGTAATCATATACATGAACTGTTAATAGGCAAAGTAATCCGAAAATAATGGGCACACCGGCCGATCCGACATAAGCTTAAATAATATCAGTAAGGAAGCAGCTATTAAAATGAAAATGGTGGTTTGCTAACAATCATGGGTGATACGCTGTTCAGTTTTATTTCAAAACTAGGGACCCTTTCCGGGCCATGTCTGGAAGTCATGGCTGTGGTTGGCAATAGCACCTGTGCTCATGGTAGCCACAGGTAATAGCAGCTCCATCCTCTTCCCGTAGACTTGTGTGTTACTGCCAGCCGCAGCCAGTTGATTAAAACGGATATGCCCTCTTTGACTTTTCATCGTGTTCATTTTCCTCAGTTCACCCGTGCAACGAGACCGTCAATCCGTGTCAAAATGGCGCCACTTGCTTTCCCATGAACGACGTCACCGCTATATGTGTATGCATCGATGGGTACTCGGGCCAGCACTGTGAAATTGACCCGCCAGGTGATTCAGAATTATAATGAAATGCAAAAGAGGAGACTAGGTCAATCCTGATTACACACTTTTTTCATAGCTACAGGAAGGTGTTTAAGTTTTTCCACTGGCTCATCCCAGTGACACATCTACAGTTTGAAATTAAGGGAGCTAACTTTCTAGGGGGAAAAGATAGGCCTACTAATTAGTATCTTTTGTCAAGTTTGTCAGCATGTGGTTGCATTGCAAGTTGCATAAGGTTGCAACAAAGTTCCAACTCAAGGCCATAGTCGATAGCTGTTGGTGTTTTATAAGAATTAGGCTAATACGAGTCATCATATGGTAACTCAATCGTCAAATTGGTTCCTCTGTCACTTCATCACTATCTGCCCCACTTTTCTCATTCAAATATCACGTGCTTTGCTGTTGTAATTCGTAAACGGGGAAGAATTGTATAAGCTTCTCTGTTCTCCCCATCACTGTAACCCATTTGACATTCAAAAATCATATACATCAGTGGTACACATGTCTACTTCGTCAACTGTCTCACTCGTCTTCCTGTTCGTCTCTCTACGAAGCCCCACCCTGTCATGAGAGTGTCAACCCGTGTCAGAACGGCGCAACTTGCACGGAATTGGATAGCACCACAGCGATGTGCGTCTGCATCGATGGATTTCGTGGAGAGCACTGCGACCAACGTAGGCCCATCTTTACCTTATCAGTGGACATTTTGAGTTGAATGGAATGTTAAAATTTTTAATTCACGTTGTAAAGTGGAGACCACAGATTTGCCTTTTTGGTCAACAAAAGAAAGTTCCTTTACGAGGCATTGAGATACTTAGAATCCAACCTGTTCAAAGCCTATTTTGCGTGTTAGTCTTTATTTCTCGTCTTAATAAATTGTGGTTGGTGATTTGTTCCTGGCAGTGGGCCCTTGTCACGAAAGCATCGACCCTTGTCAGAACGGAGCGACATGCTTAGAACAGAATTCAGCAGCACTATGCATCTGCGTGGACCATTATGTCGGTGATTATTGTGAGCAAGGTATGTTTCAGAGGTGACATATGATGCTTCTAATTCAATCTTTTGTTTGTGTGAAGCGTGACTTGGTTGTTCGTTTTCATTGCTCGTACTTTTGATCTTACCTACAGTGGGCCCTTGCCACGAAAGCGTCGATCCTTGTCTGAACGGAGCAACGTGCATGGAGATGAACTCGGCAGCAGTGTGCCGTTGCACCAACGACTTTGTCGGCGACCGTTGCGAGAGAGGTAAATTCAGAGGCGCACTAAAAATTTATGCGTGTGTGTGCAGGGTTGGGGGGGGGGGCTCAGATCAGGAGTCCCCCCCCCCAGGAGATCATGAGTTGGAGTATAATATTAAATCTTACATTTTTTTTTCTGTCCACAGTCCCACCGTGCCATACCACCGTTGATCCCTGTCTAAACGGGGCGACCTGCATCGAGAAAGAAAGCTCCACTTTCATGTGCGTCTGCGCTGGAGACTACATTGGCGAACACTGCGACCAAGGTACACAAACTTGACTTTGCCTTTGCGACATGGTTTTGCGGGCGAGTTTTTGCCATTTCCCCCTATTTGGTGTTCTCTCGCTCAAGTTTGTTTCTTCATTAAATACATTTTTTACATTCTTAATCCCATTTGTTCTGTTGATATCTGTGAAAAACTGCTAAATATGCTAAAAGTCAGGTCCTCTAACTGATTTACTTTGTATATTTAGGTCACTGTAGCCATGAAGCAGTTTACAACACTTCTTTAATTCCACATTTCTGGAATTTACGGAACTATTAATTAGGAGTTCTTTCAGGTTGCTTGTTTGGAGTTCTTTCAGGTTGCTAGTTTAAAGTATTTTTTGGACACTTCTCAGTCCCCCCGTGTCATGATTCTGTCAACCCCTGTCTGAACGGGGCTACTTGCACGGAGACGGGAGGTCTTCCAGAAGTGGCCTGTCTTTGTGTGGGTGGCCATACCGGACTGTACTGTGAGATTCCCCCAGGTAGGAATGGCGTCATCTTCTTACTGTTCATGTCATGAGTGTCAATCTAGGTGTGCTCCTTTTCTGGAGTTTTTTTCTGACCGACCATCTTTTCTGTTCTGTGTCACAAGTCAGCATGTTTAAAGTTACTCATCTGATTTTCCATATCTCTACTCCTTTAAGCAATCATTACCCTTTCTTGTTCTGTCGCAGACGATCCATGCGATCCAAATCCATGTCAGAACGACGGGTTGTGCCAAGGTGATCTCATCACAGGCATTCACTCATGCACGTGCTCGGCAAACTTCTACGGCGCGAACTGTGAAACCGGTAATAACAACGTCCTCCAATTCTAGCATTCTTTGCTTTTGTGAGACGGCCACGTTTTATTTGGCTGCAAAGCTGCCACACACTTGGGCTGTCGTTCATGTCTTCCTATGGCAAAATGTTAACTTAGTCCTGTTGAGCGATACACGTTGTTTTAATCAGAGCAGTGGGAATGTGACAGGAAAAGTTTATGTTACAAAACCGTTGCTCAGTGAGAAAGGCCAATAAAAATAGGCATATATGGCTTTCTTTCGCATTAATACAGTGGCATCGTATTTTTTCCCGCGGTAATGTTTCTTATACATGTACATTTTTCTCCACAGTGGTTCCTAACAATTGTGAGAGCAATCCATGTGTCAACAACGGAACCTGTTACTCGGGTAAAGAAATGAATGGGTATGTGTGCACATGCGTGGATGGATACACCGGTCTCAACTGCGAGTTGGGTAGGTAAAGTGCCAGAAGTTGTTGGAACGAGTGGTTTGTGGGTTTGTTATAGAAAAAGATATGGTGGCCTGCGTGAAAGAGGGTAGTGTCAACAAAGTATTTTTCACCATTAATTTAGAGACATGTAGAAGAATACCATGCCAAAACGAAGGTGTCTGCGTGACGGCTGAAAGCCACGACTACTGTGAGTGTAGGGAAGGCTGGACGGGGTCACAGTGCCAGACAAGTGAGTATGTGCATGCACCAGACTGATATTACTCGAAGAGCTTAACGTTTAGCTCCTTTAAAGCTTTATGTTTATGCTTAGTTCTTACTTTTAAAGTAACGTTATCCTATTTCATTAACAAATAACTCATTGATTCTCTTAAAATGGGAACATGGGTGCGGTTGGAATTGATGAAAGTCATATTTTTTTACTGACAGAACAAGTCACATGCGAAGTCAACACCTGCCAGAACGACGGTACCTGCCTGGTGCTCGATAATGTGCTGGTATGCCGGTGCAAAGGAATTTACTACGGATCACGCTGTGAACGGAGTGAGTATTTAATAATGGGATTCTATCTTGCTGTTCATGTTGTCGATTTGTTGAAGGCTCGTTTTTGAAGAATCGTAAATGTAATCCATGACTTAACTGAATCCACCGAAACCAGTCTCGAGGATGTCGTACATTGTCAGGCGTGAACAAAAAGGGGTTCGAACCCCCTCCCCTTCTGAGACCAAAAGAAATACTTTAGGAAATGGGGGAAATAATAACAATATAATTTGAGTAAATACATGTACACCAATACTACTGTAAGTAGTGTAATGTTTAATCATCGTTTCCGCTTGTCCACAAAAATGAGACACTGAAATAATTTTAAAAATCTCCAGCGTGACACCCCCCCGAAAAATTCTTGGATCCGCCCCTGATTGTACATTTGTAAGGAAGGCTTAGGCTACTCAAGTGAAGTCTGTAGTACTGATGTTCTGGACTTAATGTGATTGAAATCCAGTCATACATTGGGGCCTGGTCAGCAACCCCTCCCGGGCAGCAACCTTCCTAGGAAGGCTTTTGGTGTGGCTGAATAGACACCTAATCATGTCTTGACTGAGTGTCACGTACATGACTGGGCAGCACTGCCCACCATTCCAAATCGACAACGTGCAGCTGCTGTCGTGCTTTATTAACATTTTTTTCCAATTCTGTGGGCTACATACGATAACCATAGCTTAATCTGTTGTTTCTTCCAGGAGTCGATACACGCTTTATCTAAAATCAAGAATTATTTTTCAGAGAAAATAATTCATTACAGACGGCTATGTAACTGACTGAAATACACTGACAAAAAACCCAAACCCTAGACATGGTTGAGAGTATTTTTAGGTAAACAATTGCTACCACACTCTGGTTACTTGTGCTTCTTTGACCTGCTTTTACAGGTAACAAAAACTCAAATTCTGATGCACTGTCTTTCCACAAGAGGAGTTCAAGTACAATGAAGGTCGTCAGTCTCCTCACCCTCGTTACTATCACGCTGAATCTTTAGCCTAGTCTTCCTCTCGAGGCTGGTTTAATTCACGTTTCCAACATGCAGGCAGGTTATGTGTCCGTCAACTCATATTGCAGTGGGTCTTTACATTACTGTTTGTTTTGTGTTGTTTTTTTGTTGTTGTTGTCTTGCTTTGTTTTTTTTTACGTGGTGCTGAAGTACTCCAATAGAGCCTGTTCTTATTTAGATACATCGCCACTCAGCTGACGGTTAAAACCATACGTTCTGTGGCTGAATTTTATTGGTGGTGTGTTGCTGGTGAAAATTGGGATTGCATCAATGCGTTGTAATCATGTATCAGTTCTAAATAGTTTTCAAAGGCAAGCAAAACTTGCAACAATCCTTTCACAAAGTCTGTTTTGCCCTCTGCTACTTATTCTTCATATTGCATTCACCTGAACACAGAGCTTGAATTACATGTATGAGATAATATCTGAACTGTACAGGTCTGGAAAGCCTAACTGCTACTTAAGTTTCTCACTTTACAACTTTTTTTAATTTAAAGGCAGATTGTCTTCGATTTAGCCTACTTTATCTCATTTATTATCCCCAGTGTTGATGTTACACAGATAGTAGGCCTACGCGGTTTTAAGTATTGGTCTTTGCTATCTAGGTTAGCCAGTTTGGTTCTGAGTGGAAATTGTAATAATGGTGATGTTTGTGCGTATAGTTAGGGACCCTGAGATAGATCTAATTAAATTTACCAGTTTTACAAAGATTCAATCCTGTTTCCCCAAAAATCTTTACATTTAGCGTCAGATATCTGCCCACTTTTTAACTAAACTATTTAAACTTCTGAGCAATCAAAGATTGTCTTCCCCCGTGGATTCTGTGGAAAAAAATGGTCTAAACTCTTCATATGTAAATGTTTCTACATTTATGTTCCAATGACAAGATAAAACAATTAATACTCACTGTGATGCTAAAATATTGTGCATCGAAATATGAAACTGTATCTAATGAGTTAATATGGTATATTTTTATAACGTAATTCTATGTAGATTTTCGTTTAAATGGTCATAAAGTGAACTGGAATTAAATCGTACTCTAAACGCAGGCCTTTTAAACACAGACGTCAAGGCTACTCTGTACAGTTTAAACATAATTTTACCTTCATATTTCTGTACATACTTCTCATTTTTAGTAAGAAAATAGAATGTATTTTCAGAAGTGCACCGCCTGTCAGACTTTGATTTCATCGGTTGTCTCTTCAAGTTCTGTCTTTTTGAAAGCCGTAAAAGGTCGCCTCATTCCAATATTGTTGAATTACATTTACTCTAAGTTCATTTAAAATGGTAAGTACATATATATATGAATGCATGTATTATACTTTATATAGTAATTTCACAAACCTAATAAAGGATAATAAGATATGTAAAATGTCGCTGGTATGTATGTGAGAAGAGCAGCAGTAAGTGTTGATCGCAGGCGCGAATTGCATCTTTGATTGATAAGTTTTCTGATGGTTGTGACTCACTAAAATGCACGCTCACGCGTACCAACCATCGCCTTTGCATTCGGCACAGTAAATACGGCCGCCGGTGGCTTCAGTCAGCACAAAGGCATTGCAAGACCAGTTTTTTTTATATGACGTGCGTGGTTCGCATACATTCGGTTGGAAATAAGTGGGCAAGTACCCGCTTCATGCGCATGCAATGTGATCGTCCTCGTCTGCTTCTCTCGTGAGTGAACACGCAGCGCCATGTGAAGTTCTGCATAGAGAGTGATAAATCAAGCGATTCAGTACATATAAACAAATACATGTACAAACATACCAATGCATGTACATGTGTATAAATTTCAAGGTAACCTTCAGAATAGAGTGTTTGCATGGCTACCATCTTGTAGGTCAGTGCTTTTGTTCCACAATGTATACACAAGGGAGGTAATTACCCGTGGAATAATAGAACTGCCGTGCAAAATGGCTACCATGCAAAGCCTCTATACTATTTTGATTCAAAACTGGTCTTCATGATAGTCTAGATAGTTTAGTGAATACTTTCCATATAAAACACAAGTATAAGCATAACGCACACGTATAAGAAACGAGCGCGCCAGGTTTTCAAAACAGATTTGATTAATGTACATTTAAGAGCAAGAAAGTCTACAATTGGTTTTCATATGCGCATGCGTCGCTGTCACTGGATACCGGCTTGTAAATGTTGTGTGCTGTCTTATCTTCAAGAAGTATGGCCTTGCCCTCAATCCTTGCTGAGTCATGTGAATGGTCGTTCCGAGCGTGCCTGGCATGGCTGGCTCCAACGGTTCCTGAGACGCTGGAGACAGGCGTTTCCTTGGTGGTGTACTCGTCCGGGCACTTGACGCGGTCACAGAGCTTTGCCAGCCACAACTTTCGAATTCTCTCGGTGAACGTGAAGGATAAAAAGAGTAGCGGTCCTTGCGAGGAGATCAAGACAGTGAAGAAGTAGGAGAAGCCGTCCACTTTGAAGAAACCCAGGAGAGCGACGAGGAACCAGGTCATACCAGTCGCAACAAAGATCTGAAGAGGAGATGCAATTTTAGATTTCCTGAAAGCCCGGTATAAGAAGTTGCTAGCAGTCACGAACAAACAATTCGTGTACATTCACGAACTTAGTCAAATTTAATTGAATATACACTGTAATTGCACACTTTGGGTAGCAGTCAAACGATCAAAATGACAGTTGAAAAGTTGTTAACAATAGTCATAAGAATTCATGGACAACCGACACAGAATCGGCCTGCAAAAAAATAAGACTATCAAAAAGCGCAGTCCGATCCTGCAAACTTTGAAAAGTACATGTTAGTGATTTGGTCCGTATACCGCAATAAACCCACTTTTGTGAAATTAGTGCGAGTGGTGGGTCAAACGTACTTAGATGGGGTTTTAATACGATACAAGTATAGATAACCAAATGTCAACAAACTTTTAGGCACGTACCTTACTGCACAGAATGACTTCCGATTGCAGACGGTCTAGTCTTCTCTGATCTTTCACGACCATTTTGGTACTCTTCCTAGTGCGCCTGATGCCAATCACGGTCTGAACGAAGAGAACTGCATTGGAGCTCATCAGGATAGTAATGGGCACGGCTACTAGATACAGCATGCCAACATCAGAAGGGATGCAATGGGAGGATTCAATGCCGTACATAGCCACCCTTTCCCCATCCACCACGAGGAGGTGATGAAGAACGCAGCCAACGGCCGATACCAGCGCGGGGGCACCCCAACCGTACAAGGAGTACCAGAAGAAAGCCCTGTTGAAGCGTCGGTTCTGCATCTGCAGCTTGAAGCCGAACGTGCGGGCAAGGTGCAGCGACACCACGTTGCTCCAGAAGAAGACGGCCAGCAGCAGGTAGTGTATTACAACGGCAAAGGCGAGACAGAGCTCCTCATTTGCAATCGTGAACTGACGCAGGGGTGAGCCAGGACCAAGCAGGAAGAGCAGTTGGGTCAAGAACAGGGCTGCGATGAAGCAGAACAGATTCTTGCCGGGTAGGGTGCAGAGCTCCGGGAAGATGCAGAAGCTGAGAAGAGACACTAGCAGGAAGATCTGCGACACGATGAGGCAGACCACAGAAAAAATCGCACCCGGAACAGGGGAGGATTTGCGACAGCTGGACCATTCAGGTTTGAGACAGACGACTATCTCTTCATCGCTGAGCTTGACAATGTCTTTACTGGAGAGGTTCCCTCCACATTGAAGTTCCACCGCTGTATTGTCCAACCACTTGAACTCGCTGGAATTAAGAACCACCAGTGAACAGTTCAGCTTCGCCATGCACAGATACACGAATTCCTGAGCGCCTTCCGTTGGGTTGTAAATAACCTCCCTGAAGGTTCTCTCTGATGGGCAAGTCACCGATCCGTTGGCCACCCTGATGTTAACAAATGAAGTACCGTTGATTTCAAATTCAGACCCCCAAGAATAGCCGGCTGGTGTCTGCCCAAGTCGGCCACAACTGTTGATTAAGAATTCAGGCTCAGGAAAGTTCCTCAGCGTCAATTTTTGCATCTTTACATAATTAGTGGAGACCACTGGAACTTTCACGGCTCCAAAGAAGCGAGACAACGTTTCAACAAAGGTGTGCGGTGACTCAATGACGACAAAGAACATACAATGTGACAACTGAGGAAGATATGAGCAATCGACCGGGCGGTGCCGGATAATTGTAAGGTTCGGTGAAATATTCATGAGGGTGCTGATCAGATACGACTCCAGAAAGTCCAAGCTTCTTTCTTGAGTGTGGAACTGCAAGTCCAAGGAAAACGCTGGTGGCTCTCTCGATCGGGACAATAAACAGGGCTCAGTTTCCGCTGCCACGCATTCACCTTGGGCTCCGAGCTGCTGACCAAATGGACACAGAAATCTACGGCAGGACCCTAGAGCAACGTCGAAGAAGGTGCCTGGGTCGCACACCAGAACCGATGGCTGGCCATCCAGGGAAAAACGCAACTCCCGGTGCGAGTTGAAATCAAAAAGGGCGCTGATAGGAAGGGTATCTACTATTTCTGTATTCGGCCTGAAAGAGAAGGGATTATCAATACACTGACACTGTTCTTCGCAGTGCGGGTTTTTGCAGCACTGACGTTGGTTTAGTTGGTACACTCCGCACGCCGCTCCAAAGCGAGCCCCAGGGTGGCAAACGCAATGATGGTCGGTCGGAACCAGTCGCGGTAGAGGAGCGCCCAGCATGAGCGAAGATGGTGCCGTGACGGGACCAACCTCGCAATTTCCGATGGAGCTGTCCGTGAGACCAACGATCGCAACGTTCTCCGGGCAGTTCAGCTTCATCTGCCAGTACTGCAAGTCCTCCTCCTTAAAGCCGCTGCATTGGGCGCAGTAGGCGTTCCGGTAGTGCAACCCGTCCGGGGCAGTCACAGGGACCGCCCTCTTGACACCACCCAGAGTTCTGAAAGAACCTAAGTCGTCGGTACACAAACTAGCCATTTCTTGTGTTGTAGTGTTGTTCCTGCAGCTCTGGACTAGGACATAACCCATCCGATTGCCAGCATTCACGCGTACCAGGGACGTAGTTGGATCTCGTGCCAAAATGATAGGACCCCACAGGGCTTTCAGCTTGCAAGCGTACTCCGCGGTAACACTCTTCAAGAAGTCTCTTGCGCCCGAGACTGGACATGCAGCATGCTGGTCGTGCTCGCTTTCACGGCCGCCAATGCCCAATGGCGCAGGTCGGGTTCCCAAACTACCTGAGCAATTTGAGAATGCTTCCAAAAGCCCACCATTCCCTCTTTGGACCAATCTGCGTTGCAGATCTGTGCAGTATAATTCGAAATCGAGACAGCAGTCTTGGTATACCACGCAATGGTCGTCGCAGCGGCAACGAGAAACGCCGCTACGTATGTACCTATGCATTGCCTCCTCGTCGCAAAGACCACAACAAGAGGCATCCTGAGATACAGCGACTACAAGCCCACCCAAGGTCACATTGACGGCCTCTGCATAGGAAGGAAAGACAAAACACAGGATGGAGATTTTATAAGCAATCCAGACATTTATGGAAGCAAAGTCTCTACGGTGGAAATTGATTTAACGAGAAGAAAGTTGTATTTGCAACGGGCAAACAACGACCTGACCAAGCACCTGATTCCTTTTGAAATGCATTTGAAGGGATTATCAGAACGTTATTTTCACGCCGTCCCCGCCAAAATCTACGGCGTGGCTCGGGGACTGTACCTCTATCCCTTCTCCGATATGTGTCACCTTAACGGCCTAATACTAATACTTTGTGAAGTTGGGGGGGACAAGGGGTCGTCTTTATTGAAATATTTTAGGCCCATATATTTGTTAATGAATATTTATATAAATTACCAGCTAGAATTAACGAGTCAAGAGGTTGGGGGACAAGTCATCAATATTTTTCCACTTCGTGTAACAGGTTTCGCATAGTCGAGGTTGCTGTTCAGGCTATGCCTTTGACTTTATACATGTACTATTTACAGTGCAATGTCCATTACGACTCAAGTTGCAATTTGCCTTAACTTGAGCCGGTGATTGGAAAGTTGTCAATTTGGTCACACATTTGTTATTGCTATCAGAGACTCTGACAGGCAAAGAAAGCCCCCAGTCTTTCAACTGGGCAATATCTGTACTTAGTGAATACTTATTTTTCTGTTGACAAAGATAATGTTTCAGATAATTTCTATTTTTATTATAGTTATTATGCCCTCTTGGTTGAAGGAAATCAATATTATCCAACTGACTTTACATACTCTTATAAAAAATAAAAAGGTAAATATTTTTTTAACCGTAAAAGTGGGTCACTTAAATTATAATGGTCATGCAAACGCAATTAACAATATCCATCTACTGAGACATGGCTTCAATGCCTCAGCCATTATCCATATCTACGTGCATGTGTCAGGCTGTGTCAGAGAGTAAGTCTCGAATTAAATTTAATTAAGGATTGTGCGCTCTTAAAGAAGTAGCTAATGGGCTCTCTGGTTAATTGCTGCTTCCATTAGTCTGTGAGTTGTTCTCCTTGCTTGTTCGTCACACATGTCAAATTAGTGTCCAGTGGTCATGCCCGCTTTACCAACAAGTAGAAAACCAGCCAAATAACCCCCCAGAAAATGGGTCTATGCAAGGGCGGAAGTGTCTTGTCACATGTGGGGGTGGGGTGATTTCCGAATGCTCAGTACGGCGCGGCCTCCATCCCAGATAAGATCGTTACGCTGGCAAGTGCGTTGTCGGGTGCGTAGTTGTTAAGGGTTTGCACAGTCAGTGACTTGAAGGAGGATGATTATTATTGGTAATCCTGCATCCGTCAAAAAGTGGGGGATAATCTATCCCCACCCCGAGGATCTCCACTGGTGGGTCTTTACACAAGTATGGTTTTATGTTCAAAAGTAATGCACTGCGTAACATTCTGTGACTTTAATGCACACAGACAAAAAATACCTAGGTCGCCTTACTTAGGTCTATTACTTTGTAGTCAAAAGTGAGTTTTTTATTCGCAAAATATATAATTAAAATTGCCGCGGTCCCCCACGCATTAAATGGCAGGAAATCAGTTAGTCCCACCAGGGAATGCTACATAAATAACGGAGGTTATGGGTACTTGCACCAACAAGACCAACGTGCGTATTTTCAACTGGCAAATACTTGTACAGCTCTTAATTAAGCTCATTATCATCAGCCATACGAGATGTGTTTTGCAAAATCGAATCTTCTGTGGAATAAAGTTTTATTGATGTATTTGAAAAGCGGGTTACTACCTTACTTGACGTGCCAGTGTTCTTTGCCTATTTTTTGTTGGTAGCCTGAGACGTGAAAGTCTACAGGAGGCGATTTAATCTGCACTTTCATGGTCACTGTCCCCAACATCACATGCGTTATGCATGCAATTTCCCTTCTACATGGGTGGGAGAATATGAAGAAAACATTAGCCCTCGCCTCAAGACGATAAGGGCGCTTTTGGCTTAGCCACTCGCACTGGCCTTTTCGATGTCGTGGTTTGAGATCCAGCACAATAAGGTGTGGGGGGATGCAACCCCGATCCATGTGATGCATAAGCTATGTACTATTATGCAACAGAACCCACATCTATAAGCAGTCACTCAGTGAGCTCCCGGAACCTTCGCGCAACCAGGCTTTTTTGAGGATTATTTTTTTTAAAGGAATCACCTTATATCACATTCTATAATTTTTGGCAGAACAAACCATCCAAGAAACACTCATGTTGTGATTTCATCTGTGTGTGCTTCGAGTACTTAACCCGGAAATAGGTAAAAATCAAATTTATTAATGATCTTTCCCTTCTGTTGTTATCACTTCTCTTCTTATTAATGCATGTTTGTTTTCACTTCACGTGCTGATGTGAGAACTAGAATGTATAACCTGGATGAACGCTAGATCGGGCTGGCCTGATTCAAACGTCTGGACTCGCAATGCTCTTATACGGAATGAAGCCACCTGCAATCATATTTCCCTGCCTATACTGCAATAAAGGTGATCGTTGGATCACGTGCCAGGCTGTTGTTGCTAAGAACAAACCTTCATACACGACTAAAAAAAAGTTAAGGACCACTTTTTATTTTGTGTATACTTTTTATATGAGCTCTTTTATTGCCGAATGTATTTTGCATCATTGCACATTTTAAAAATTTTTTTATTCCAATGAGACCACCATCTAGACAAACAAAAGCGAAAGAACTAGACCCCATTCATATTGCTTGGAAAAAAATACAGGTTGAGAAAAAGTTGGTCCTGAACTTTTTCCGATTAGTATATTACTGCATTCAGCGCGGTATGATGGCCACCGGTGGCTTCAATTACCGATGTCAGTTGATCAAGGGCATTGCATTGTCACAATATATTGTGTTGGTTGGTTGCCATCTTAACACCGAAAACATTATCACATGCGCATGCCAGTAATCATTCAAGCAAAAAAACTCAAAAGATCTTTTAAAGGCTAGAATTACTTCATACAGAGTGGCGCCCCTCATCGAATGCAGCACTAGGCGGTCTTTGGCAGGTTGACCGTCCATACTTCGGTGTTATCTCTGTTGAAATCTTCCACACATCACAAGTATCAAGTTTTTAGCAATTTTGTGGCGCCACGCAATTAAACAATTCCCTACACTTCTGATGTCGAAGTTGAAACACAGCACTCTAGAAAAACACTCAGTACAGCTCTGTGAATCGCTAGCTCTAGATAAAGTTGTGCCTATCAATATGCAGGCTAGACTGTAGTTCAACATGAAAGCACGCGCAGAAGAAAGACGTTTATTCTCCTTCTACACTTACCTGAGGCCAGTGTTCCACCCAGCCAACTAGATGAGATGAGAAATGTTACGGAAAGCATTCCCAAATATCTCCTCAAAATAGCCATGGTGCGCGCCGTATCGGTTTGTTGGATAGCACGCAACTCGTGAAGCTTTATATACCGAACCAAATACATGGAACACCCCCCCCCATTATCCTTGGCGTCCTTTATCACCTTAATTGCCATTACGGCTACATCCTAACCACTCAGTCTCTGCTGCTTTTTAGCTGTTTGTAATGTCACATGTAATCATGGTTCATTTTGGGACTGTGCGGTCGTTTGTTTTGGTAACTAATTAACGTATTGTTTTCATGAACTGGAACCAATATTGGAATTGGTAGCAAGCTTTCTGTTACGCAATCTCCTTTTGAGGTTTTGCCACATATGGCTGAAATAACTTGGACCCTGCATGGTCCCAGATGGGCACAACGCCAAGACAAAATCGGTGTATGAACTGAAGGGTAGAGGTGTATAAATAAGGTCTACTTGTGTAAGGATGGAGAATTGCATAGCGGCACGTTGCCCACCCAACACCCACTTCATCAGCGTGCAACAAAATTGTGTGGTTCGTGTCGCGGATCGCGGCACTTGTGAACTATTGTGGAAGGTCTTGAGATCAAGACTACGAATAGGAGCAGGTGTTGGGCTCACTATAAAGCCTACATCCAGACTTCTTGTTGTTTTAGTATGGGCAAAACATACTCAATACATATTTCTGATTAAAACATCAGTCAAGTGTTACTATTTCATGTGATATAATGAACTGTTGCGACATGTCGGTGCACGAAGACACTGGCCTTGATAGACAACAGCCAAAGTTTACTGATTGTGTTGCATTAATGCGGTCTGCTGAACACAAAATGAGCCGAGCATCGGGCATAAGTAACGCATACAGTCCAATGTGGGTTGAAAGTAAAGACTGTGTGAGAAATAATATTACACTGCGTCTAAGCTCTGGAAAATTGTGCTGAAGACCCATACTTACTTCATTTTTCATTACTGCAGTCGGTAGATCACTGGTTTGAGGAAAAAGAAAAAATAAATACATTTTGCATCAGTGCTACTTTAGAAAAGGAAGGAGGCTTGGCTATTTATTTTTATTTTGAAATAACCTTTAAAAATCCAACCATCATTGTTTCACGTTACAAACCCATTTTGCATGCGCGGATGGTTATTAAACATGTGGATGTGCCCATCCGTACAGGTCAGTTGGCATGGGCGGAAATCCCGGGGACTAATTTTTTTGTGTATATCCCCTCACCTTTTGACCGGGGTGGAATATTGATCCCCCCTCGCATTTTCTAGGTGAGAAAAAAGGCGATGTTAAGAATTTCCGGACTTCCTTACAATTATTTGTATTGAATGACACTCAAAAAGGAGAACAAAAAGCTATAAATACGCCGTTTTGATGTAAATTTCTGGAAGCAGGTAATACATAATGGTAATGTACATTTGTATCATGAACATCGATCCCAGTATCAGAATTCTGTCAGCGACCCCCCCCCCCACCACTACCACCACTACCCGCTTTCCAAGTTTCCACAACCTGGCAAGTCATCCCCACAACCCCCATCCGCCTCACCCCCATTTCCTGCACAAACGGACTGCAATTAACTCGCTACTGTCTGAGGGTACCGGCGAGGTTTAGTCCCGATCCCTGGACTATAGATAAGTTGCCTTTAGTAAACAGAGAACGGTTTCATAATGGATTATTCTGCCAGACGTATTCTCAAACTCTTCCTTTCACAATAACTGGAGATGAAAACATCTTTCAACTCCCCCACCACCTGAGTAGAATGGGAATCAGAAAATGGCACCTACATAGCGCGCTCCCTCACAGATGCGGGCACGAAACTGTTGATGCAAGCACCTGCTATTGACTAGGGGAAAAGATCTTTTCTGCTTCGAGGGACCGAATACAATACAGACAACACACCGCTGGAGCTTTATTAAAGACAAAACTTGAAGGAGTGGGCATGGTACAATAACATGGTACAAAATGGTTCCTTGTGCAACCTCCAGACATCCCTTTTAACCAAGATTCTCGGGGACAACAAATAAAGATAAACTGCTAAACCTGATGAATGCAAATTTGGCCTTTGAAGATTTGACCCAATAGGCTATCAGAATTAAGTGATGATGCAAGTGGAGATTATTCAAGCAGTCATAGTCGAAGCGGGGAGACATTTTTGGTGTCGGACTCTCCCCCGTGCATTGAAGGAACCAAGTTAATTGCATGACTCTGCTACAAATTTAAACCTGAATAAAGTTGAATGTTGACAACGGATCTATTTGGCTACCAAGATGGACGTATTTAGTTCTTTCTTCGCTGCTCTGGTGGGTTGCCTTCTGTTCAGCGAGTGTCACACACAAGGTATGCTCATTATATGAATGCGTTCTTTATCTGTCTGTATCTGTATGTATGGTATAGTCGGCAAAGCACCCAGATGACACATCACACCAACTGTATTAGGTTTACGCCTCGCGTGGGGAGATTGACGCAAATTTAAAACAATGAAAAACAACCCATCAATTTTAGATCATGTATTGAACCGTGTTTTTGTTCAGAAGGATCTTGGTGTTGATGATTTAAACAAATAAATAAAAATAAATATTGCCCGGCTGCCTCCTTGAAAGCTGACACAGATGTTGCTTTGACCACAGATTGTGGCATGTTGTTCCAATCCCAAACTGTTTTGGGGAAGACGGTATTGTCAAAAACCTTGGTATCGAGAATATATTTACAATTTTTTTTGTTTTTGTTTTGGTATGACCCATGGAGATTCTAGCATTTGGAGTGAGGATACCATCAGACTGAACATTAACCAACACAATGATTATTTTGAACATCTTGGATAACCTGTTGGTTTTCCGCCGTATCTCAGAGGATGACCAACCAAGTTCCTTGAGTATATTTGTCACGGTGGCAGGTGCTCTACTATAGTTGTTGGAAATCAGTCTAGCAGCTTGTCTTTCAGTGGATCTGTTCGAGACACTGAATGTCAGACACCAAGTGGGGATCCGTGGCAGATGACGAATATTCCAGCAATGGTCGAACCACTGTGAAGTACGCTGCTTCTTTGTCTTTTGGAGTGTAACTCCAAAGGCTCCTCCTAAGAATATTTAATACTCTCTGAGCTTTCTTGCAGGTTTCAGATATGTTTCCTCCATGACAAATTATAAGTGATATGAATCCCAAGATATCTTAGACTGTTCACTCTACTTAAGTTTTGTCACCGCAAAAAAATTATAGGCCTAGATGCTTTTGATCGGTGCCCGAATGCCTATGGAGATTGTGTAACATTTGGATGGATTAAATTTTATTCCCAAGCTTGACTACCGCTTTTCTAGTAGGTCTTGTTGTAATTGGATTGTTAGATTGCTTATCCACGCTATACAAAAGACAGTCGTCAGCAAAGAGACGAAGGCCTAAAGCAAGGTTATCTGGTAGATCGTTTGTGCACAGCAAGAATAACAACGGCCCAATCACTGATCATTGGGGGACCCCTGATGTTACTGGTACAAGATCTGAATCCTATTCCTGACCATCTAAAACTACCCTCTGTGTTCTTCTGGACAGGAAACTTCGAATCCACAGATGCAACGGTCGTACAATGCCTTAGTTTCTTAATTTATTTAGCAGAACATTATGTTGGACTTTATCGAAGACCTTCATACAGTCAAGTACAAGTACTGTCTCGTCCATTCTTTGTCGATTAATCTGCCTATGTCATGCAAGGTAGTAATAAGTTGAGTTTCTGTTGATCTTCTGGGCCGGAAACCATGTTGGCAGTCTGTGACAATGTTGCATCTGTCATGGTGCTTCATTATGTGACTAAAGACTATATGTTCGAGAACTTTACAGAGGACGGAGGAAAGAGACACTGCATGGTAATTTGCAGGATCTGAACGTGCCCCTTTCTTGTAGACCGCAATAACATTTGCTGTCTTCCGTGTTGATGGTACATGTACTATCCCAGTATTCACTGGGATAGTTTTGAAACAGGTCTTGGAGAACATGTGACTAGTAGTTCTGCAACAAGCTTTAACAACCATGACGGAATAATATCTGGCCCCAGTGCTCTCCATAGAATAATTTCCGTAAGTTGTCTTTCGACACCCTTCACATGATTTCGTCGCTTTGTGCAGTGGCTACTTTGCAAGGACCATGCAGGACACCATCCTAAATTGCACAGAAGCCCCGCCGATAGACTGAAAATCCAGAGTCAGCCTATTTATGCCGTCGTGATTTGCCTTGCTTGTTTAATTAACAGCGCCAGCAAGTGTTGAAATATATAAACACTGCCAGTGCGCCGGCGCAGCGCAGTCCGCGCGAAGTAAGAACTTTTCAGTAGTGCTAAGTGTTGTGGGGTGGGTGTGCACTACATTGTGTTTTAATCCGTGCAATCTCACGTTATTGGTACACTGTGAAATTCAACAGTAGACGCTATGGTTAGCGGTATAGTTATTTTTAATTCTCATTTTAACAGAAGAAAATGAAGGTGTGAGGCTATACTAGTATTATGTTGCATCATGGTTGCATGCATTACAGCAGTTTTGGGTTTGTCGTCTGCCAGAACGCTTGGGTCGAAATGTATACTACTCAGCATTCCTTAAGGCTATAGTGACCTATTTTAATATGGTACAGCCCCAATGGGGTGCACTTTGGTTTATCGTCACTGTTAACAATATGTTTACTTCAAATTTCACTGTTAGGCATTAGCGATATTTGATGATGAGTCTTAAATCTTGCCTTAGCTTTGCTAACCTGGGTCCTATAAAGTTTTAGTTTTAGGCCAGATTTTCCAATCTTTTTTCTCAAGTGCAAAATGAACCAGTCTCTTAACATGCACGTAAAAATACAAAATATAAGTTTCTAACGAACTGAGTGGACATGATGGAGGTAGGCCTAGGCTTAGTGATGATTTACTAAATTTTATCAACTTTAAAGAACTTCTCAAATGTCTGTTGAGGATCTTCTGAGAATGTGCTACGTTCATTGTGTTAGGAAACACTGAGCAGAATGAGCTGAGAAGAGCAGAATTCTTGCCCAGTATCTGGCTGCCGCCCTTTTTGAATTTTTGACAATATGTCTTGACACTGAAATTGTTCACAAAGGTTGGACAGCATCCTGAGCATGTGTTATGAAGATAATAGGGCCTACGTGTAGTATTTAACATTTGATTAACAGGTCTACATTTGGAGTTGAATTGTCAGCACTGCCTGGGGAAAGTCAAGTTAATTAACATAAGGGAGCTGTATTACAGCCAGTGTAGTCACATGCAATTGAATTTCAAAGACGCAATTTTAATCCCAATTTCCTGGTCTGAATTTTTCAGAGCGTCCTTGCGACGAGGGGCGTAATCCCTGCATGAATGGAGGCTTCTGTTTTTCACTGGACGGTGTGACACCAATGTGCGGATGTGTTGGTGACTACATCGGAACTCATTGCAATTATGGTAAATATTAAAGGTACCCTGGGCATAAGGAATTCTTCGGTTGGCATATCACTCCCAGCAAACAAACAAATAACTTCGAATTCTCTTTTACAGATCATTTACAGTGTAACAACATCATTCACTACACAAAACATTTGGTGTGTCTTGGTTATGAAATTAATGCAAAGTTGTAGCATTTTGAGCCATCTTTATGTAAAGCAACCCTGTTAGCCAATCGGTGTAATTCACATCAGGCCAAGTAGTGTATCAATGTTTTGAAATAGCCTGTAAATCTCTTTTATTTTTATAAAAATCCAGCAATATCTGTCTTCATTTTATAAATCCCCTAGTCTTACATACGAGTGACCTTGGGAGTTTCAGCCTTTGGGGCCAGAGCCTGTCTGCACCCTGGTTGGTGCACAAACATAGCACAGCTGTTGCACACCTACTGTTCATTTGAATGTGCACAAAGTCCAGGCCTCGGTTTCACAAGAGTGACATGTCCATCAGATAGGCTAATAGGCTGCAGTGTCCTTGTAAACTGTTAGGTCAATTCAGACTTGACTGTTTAGAGTCATAGGCCAACCATATTTGGTCAGCGGAAGTTCCCAAAATCGTTTTGGTCCCACATAACGCATGCATAAATGGCCTTTCAGGAGCAGAGCCATACTGCTGGCAATTGATATAGCGTAGTTTGGCTCCTCCAATTTCACTAGGATTGATGGTGATTTTCCGTTGGGTGTTGTTTTTTGTTTTGTTAGTCCACCCCTGCTCAGACAGTGTCAACCCCTGCTTGAACGGTGCCACCTGCACACCCTCCATGGGCGACCTCTCTGCAGTGTGCACCTGTGCCACAGATTTCAGCGGGAAGCACTGCGAAAAAGGTAAGTATTGGTAGTGGGGGTGTTGTTTTGGCTGCATGATGCAATGTTTAAGCTAGGGCTGTGCCGAATATCTGAATATCCAAATATTTGATCGATTATTAAATACGGTGTTCAGTTTTCCGAATTTGAATATTCATATGCAGAATTAATGGAAGGAAGGATGAATTTTTGTTTGTTACAAATGAGCAAAATTGCATTATGGAGGCTTGTTTCAAGCAGATACAGACGAAAGGGACAGGAATCTTATGATTCCAAAAGGAAATTATTCATTGATATGTTTAAAAGCTATAGAAACTTTCAACAAGGCAAGGTGTATTGTTCGTCTCCTGAATCTTGATAATTGTGGCTTGAGATACTCGTAGAGAAGCTATTGTAGTGATTATAATGTTCAATTGTGTGTGTTATTGCCGCTGATTTTGTATATAGTGTATTCATCAACAATCTGTCGGTCAGTGCGACCGAATATTCGGATATTTGATTGAACTGAAGGTGAAGATATTCAAATAGTGAATTATTCGAATTGACTCTGCCCTCGTTAAGCATAGATTAAGCATGCCATCCAAGCCCTAATTCTCACAGCGTTTTGGCTGAGAACCTTCAGCTGTGGAGGAAATCAGTGGCATATCTTTGTGTTTTTTAATCAATTGAAAGGGGCATTAGACCCTATGTAAAGTCCTGCTTGCACCGGTATGCCTTTTTTAATCAGACAAAATTCTTCATAATCCCCCGGTGGAATTTTTACTGGGTAGAGGATGGTTAGGATTTATGCATTACTTGATAGGAATCTGAAACCTGGGGGTGTTTTCAGCAAAGTGTTGTGTGATGAAAAACAGTCGCGTGATGAAAATATTGACGAATTTTGTATTTTCCAAAATAAACCAAGTTACTCGTTCGAATTTTAACACATCAGTTTTAAATGACAGAGGACCACTGCGACATCCATTTTATTGGACTAATAATGAGTTTTTTCATGTGCACTTATGTTTCATTCTTTTGGGGGCGGGGATCGATGTACAGAAAATCCTTGTCGAGAAGGGCTCAACCCATGTTTGAATGGTGCAACATGCTCTGAGTTGAATTCTGAAGCAGTGTGCGAATGTGCAGATGGTTTTGTTGGCGCCTTCTGTGAGAATGGTACGATTTTTGCTTTTACATTCAGAAAAGCTTGGCTTTTCTAAGGACAACTTCAGGGAGTAGTTACCATAAAACAGGTGATGTAATGAAGTCTTGGCATGCAACAAAATGACTGAAATAATCATCCATTGCCAGTGCTGATATATAATTGTAAACCATGGCGTGCGAATTTCAGACACTTTGTGTCAAGGAAAGTATTTTCAGATCGATGGAAGTTGCTAAGGGTTTGTTGTGTTTTAGTTGCATTTCAAATTCAAAAATGAATTTTTGGAGCCACGTTGTTTGTCCATCTTTGCATGGACTTCAACATTTTTATTGACACTTTTGAAAAACATTACCATGAAATTACAATGCCAAGTAGACCCAATAGTTTTACTTAAATTTCAACTTGAAATCACTCAGTATTTGTGTCAGGGATGAGAATAATTCTCAAAGAGTCTTGAATGGCAAGAGATAGAGTCCTGTAAAAAAAATTGTACATATTGGATTCTTCACAATATCATAATGGAATGTGAATTCTACAATAACATGCCTTTCATCATACCTAATGCTATGTGTTTATACTTATGTTGTCTACAGTTGCCCAGTGTCCAGACAGCAACAACACTTGTGACAATGGTGCGACGTGTTTAGTGGTAAATTCAGCCACTGTTTGTGTTTGCCCAAGAGGTTATGTTGGAGACAATTGCCAAAGACGTAAGTTCAGGTTAACGTGCTTGCCCATCGAAGTCACCAGCTATAGCGGCTGTGGCTACTTCCCATAGACGTGTGCTTTACTCCCAACCCTGGCAATGCTTCGTAGCTGTAGCCCAAAGTCCTCTATGCCCTTCACGTTGAGTTTGTGCATATATAGGCTGTTGGTTCTGTCTTGAGAAAACTGCTTGTTAAACTTTTCATTGACAATCAAGGCAAAAGGGTTTCTGAAATTTGCTGAAATTGTGGCCAGAAACAGGCTTTCCTCTCAATATTTAATGGCTCAAGTTAGGACATTTCCTCTTAAAAACAGTTTAGCTAGCATAGAAAACAGAATTTTTTTTATTTAACCCACTAGAAAGCCTGTCTGTGACAATTGTGACAGAAAGAAACAAAATTCAGGAGTGAGTCATTTGTGAGTGTCAAGTGTCATTGAGTTTCTGCTTTCTGTTGTAATCATACATGTAGCTCACCCCTGTTCTGAGGGACTCAATCCATGTTTGAATGATGGTGACTGTTTCTCCACTGATGATGTGACTGCGTTATGTTCGTGCATGAATGGTTTCACAGGAGTATATTGTGAACAAGGTACTTGTTCTTGCTATGCATTGTCATGTTTTCTTTTATTATAATAGGTTTATTTTGCTTCAGAGTTCATTTCGCATGATATTTACATGTATGACCATACTTAAGAGAATGAGTTGCAAGTTTCCCCAGCGACTTTTTGAGTTACTGCACAGCCTTCAAGATTCCCCGTAAAGTCGAAGGAACCTTCAACATTTTGTCACAGGTCCAAATGGTAGACCTCGTCCAGGTGTACGGAAGGTTGCATTCATGTATGCCACCAGGTCGTGTACCAGGGCGCTTACCAAATGCCTAACAGAATGACCGCTTTTGATGTGAATTCCAAACTGAGTGATAGATCAAAACACAGAGCTGTAATAGTCTGCTCTTTGGGATGCACACTAAAGCACTGACACGGAATAAATGGCCTGAAGACCCATTTGATGGAAACCCGTCCCATTTTGACTCAATCAATTACCATTACATTTGCGATTTCTTTTTATAACTATGTCATTTTGACCCATGGATGTCATGTTTTAATGAGCAGCTGAAACAAAACAGCTACAGTTTTCTTTTTTTTTTTAATTTTAAAAAACGCCAAAGCATCTCCCTGCCGTGACAGCATCAATCCATGCTTGAACGGAGCCACCTGCGTGGAAGAAAATTCAGCAGCACTGTGCATCTGTCCAGAAGGCTTCATCGGAGATATCTGCCAAAGAGGTTTTCAAGATGGATAACAGTTTTCTAACATTTTTTGTTCTTTTGTGTGAATGTGTTGATTAACATTTGACACAAAGTCAGAAAATAAAACATCCATGTTCCTTTCTTAGAGCTTTTCAGTTCTTGACTTGGCTTAAATTTTTTAGAGCGACAATCGTCCCTTTTTTGGCATATTTTTTCAAATTTGTGTTCAATTTTCATTGCCAAATCCATTTTGTTCTGACATTAAGAGTATAAAATCAGTTTGGATGAGTTTTTATACCTGGTTAAACCAAAGTCTGTGTTTAACAATTTGAACAGACATTTTGTATTTGGCAATTTTGACCATTTTATTATTTAAATTACAATAAAATTGATAAACAAATATAATTTGAGCTCAACAATAACAATTTATGCTCAACAATATGTTGAGCATAAGTTTTGACTGAGTTTTGACTGAGTTTTGACTGAAACCAGACTTTGCTTTTCTCTGTTTTTTTAGTTCATCCTTGTGCACTGAGATCAGTAGCATGTATGAATGGCGGATCGTGCTTTGCAGCCGAGGATGGCACAAACGTCCACTGCATCTGTGTTGATGGCTTTACTGGAGTGCGCTGTGAACAAGGTATGACCTCGTGCCATCTGATTTTGGACAGTGCCTCAAAAAATGCTTTCCATTTTCTTAACTACGCAAAGAGGATGTCTTCTTGCCTACATGTATTTATTCATAATTAAACAACACAATATTCCCAAACTGATCTGACAAGAGTGGGAAGATGTTGGCCTTGACTGTTGGCATGTTGGCCTCCACCATATGCAGCAAGGCATGAGACGGAGAGAACCCCCCCTGCTT